TTACTCCCGCCGTTTACCCGCGCTTCATTGAATTTCTTCACTTTGACATTCAGAGCACTGGGCAGAAATCACATCGCGTCAACACCCGCCGCGGGCCTTCGCAAAAGCATCATGGTTTGTGCTTCAGAAAGGTCACTTTGCTAGTCAGGTTTTCTACTGGCTCCATCACATTGTGTAACTCAGAAAACTCCCTGTGAGCTCCAACTTTTGCCAAGGTAGAGAGCATGTGAGAACCCTGAGTACTGACCAAAAGATTGCCATAAGCAGGTGACCTGAAGTGTCTCTGGCAGTGAGTTTTTCTTCCCACTCCAGCAGTTTCTGAAACTGCATGTTCCCAGATCCTGTGAACACTCATTCTGTTCTGACAAGTACCTTGGAGGAAGTTGTCCCCTTTGTCTGACAGCTCAGGTGATCAGGCTGCTATCTTTGTGTACACCAGCCTACGGTATTCCTCATCCCTGCCTCCACCTCTGTATGGGCGGACTGCTGTGTTCAGCCTTGCCTAATGGGCATACGAACAGATTTCCTGTAAGAAAAAAGACAGTATCCTGATCCCCATCCTGTTACATCTCGATACACGCATGTATGGGATTCTTTGGTTTGAACTCTTGATTACCACATTGACAAATGGATCTCAATTTTTCTTTCTATAGTAAATGGGAAAAATACTTCCTTTTACAGAACGAATATTCTGTAATTAGGGCTGAAGAGGTGTCTCAGTTGTTAAGAGTCTGTACTGGTCTTCCAGAGGCTGGGCTTTGGTTCCCAGCACCCACATGGCTGCTTACAATTGTCTGTAACTCCAGTTCCAGGGGATCCAGTACCCTCTTCTGGCCTCCTTAGGTATCAGACATCCATGTGATACCAGACATACATACATACAGGCAGAACACTCACATATATATAAAATAATCATTTAAAAAAATAAAGCCCTATAAATTAGTGCATTTGAAAGAAAACCAGTATTAAGTCATTGACTTTGGATCCTGACTTTGCCTATGTTGACCTGATTAGTCTTTTCAGGGAGAGATCAGGAGCCTGTGGTTGATGCAGAGGTGAGGTCCATCCAGTGGAAGATCCATAATTGTATGATAGTTTGTATTGTTAAAGGCATGCTGAATCAGCTACCTCGTGAATGGTCTACATGCAAAACAGTTTGCTCCCAGAAAGTTTCTTGGTTGCAGGTAAGTGAGAAAGGCACCCGGAGGTTAAATGCTTTGCCGCAGGCTCCCCAGCAAGTGTGGTGGAGCCAGATTTAGAACAGAGTTCTAGTTAGCTCTCGACTCCCAGCCTTGTGCAAACACTCACCACTCTGCACCCACACACTGGAGTTCACTTGCTAGAGGAAGTAACACTTCATATTTTGACCTGTGTGTTGCTGTTGCTGTTGTTATTATTATTATTATTACTATTATTATTATAGTTAATTTGAAGCCAAGTGAGGCAACCTTTAAGACGTCTTCAATTATAGACAGTGAAGTATATTCGAAGTAGACTACAAGTAAAGATACAATTCCCAAAAATTTAAGTCGAGAAAAGGGATTCCCCAAAAACTGCTGTGATTGTATGGGAGGGCAAAGGTACTGTGGCTGGCCTTCGGGTTCCTCAGAGCTTACGATGAATTTGTGAGACTGGCTGGTCACTGCAGCACAGAAAAACCCAGGGTGTGGTGCGAGCCTGAGTTTATGTGAAGAGTTCTGTAGCTTTGACAGAAGTGAGGAGGAATAAAACAGCAGGCAGTGTAGGTGAGGGATAGATGCTCAATATGTATCTGTGAGAGAGACAGACAGACAGACAGAGAATCTAATGTGCTTTAGCAAAATGATCATAAATTCCGAGCTCCTCGAGCTTGTTTTAGTGGAGAGAAGAAACACTAGCATTAAATCCATGAGGAAGTTAAATGATGATATTGAAATATGGCAGATGCTTAAAGAAAAGGGTGATTGTGGTTCATGTGGGCATGTAGGCTCCTGTGATGGTACATTCTTCCGACACGAGGGAAGTGGCACTTCCTTTTGTGTTCTTCTTCCTCAAAATGTGTAACTCTAGTCTAATCATGAGAAAAACATCAAACAAACAAAAAGCCCACGTAAAGGAGCTGCTAAGTGGCTCAGTTGGCTGCATGCTGTGCACGCACGAGGACCGCGTTTGGATCCTTAGCATCTACTGGCATGGTTTGAAGACTGCATCTTCAAGCTGGGCAGTGGTGGCACACGCCTTTAAGCCCAGCACTGGGGAGGCAGAGGCAGGCAGATCTCTGAGTTTGAGGCCAGCCTGGTCTACAAGAGCTAGTTCCAGGACAGGCTCCAAAGCTGCAGAGAAATTCTGTCGTGAAAAAAAAAAAAAAAGATTACATCTTCAGCATTTATAAAGCCCTGGATTTGTCCCTTAGTAAAACGTGCATGTGCATGCATGCACACACGCACAGACACACACACACTCACTCATGCACGCACACACTCACTCATGCACGCACACACACACACTCACTCATGCATGTACACACACACTCATGCATGTACACACACACTCATGCATGTACACACACACTCATGCACGCACACACACTCATGCATGTACACACACTCATGCATGTACACACACACTCATGCACGCACACACACTCACTCACTCATGCACACACACACACTCACACACTCGTGCATGCACACACACACACTCACACACACTCGTGCACGCACACACACTCACACATGCATGCACACACACTCACGCATGCACGCACACACACTCACACATTCACTTATGCACACACACTCACACATGCATGCACACACACTCATGCATGCATGCACACACACTCACACATTCACTTATGCACATACACTCACTCATGCACACACACACACATACACTCACTCATGCACACTGCCTCCACACTGGGTCTAATGGTAGGTAGGTAAGAAAAGGAATGCTGGCAGTTTTAGAAGATTAATTTAATGATCTATATGATGATATTTCGTCTGTAAATGGGAATCTTGTACTTTGAATATAGTAATTTTTCTTAGTCTCTGAAATACAAGATGAAATTAGAAAAAATTCACATTTCAGAATTATTAAAACTTGTTACATAATTCAGGAGACTGAAGCTTGAGACTCAGAAGGACAAACAAATTTAAGCCCTGTTTTCAGCCCCAAACATTGGAAACATTGTATGCTGTTCTAACACAAGGGGAAAGAGATAGTTCATAGTCAGCACGCTTTATAGGGAAAGCTGGCCACAGTTCCCATGATCTGGGTTAGGGTTTAGTTGGTAGAGTGCTTGCCTGGCATGCTTGAATCATCGTGTTTGACCTCCAGCATCACCTAAAATCAAGGATAGTAGGGAACACCTATACCCCAGAGCTGGAGGCTGGGGAATTGGGGGTCAGGATCTCTTCCAGTTTTATAGTGGATTTGAGGTCAGCTTGTTAAATAAATAGATAAATAAAAGTTTGCATATACTAGTTTAATTTACATATACTAAGCAATATAGTTTGGTGCTATTGATTTAAAAATGCTTGAGCTAAAAATTAATTGATTAATCATAGTTTTTGAAAAAAAAATTCTCTACCTGTTCAGCAATGTTTAATGGTATTGATAGTTTTTACCTACTTATATATAAGCAGTACAGAGGAAAGAAGATGTTGCCTACTTTTGTCCGTTCTTTGCTAAAGACATATAGGTATGTGTATGTGACTTCTGGGTACTGAAGACATATAGGTATGTGTATGTGACTTCTGGGTACTGAAGACATTATATAGGTATGTGTATGTGACCTCTGGGTACTGAAGACATTATATAGGTATGTGTATGTGACTTCTGGGTACTGAAGACATTATATAGGTATGTGTATGTGACCTCTGGGTACTGAAGACATTATATAGGTATGTGTATGTGACCTCTGGGTACTGAAGACATTATATAGGTATGTATATGTGACCTCTGGGTACTGAAGACATTATATAGGTATGTGTATGTGACCTCTGGGTACTGAAGACATTATATAGGTATGTGTATGTGACCTCTGGGTACTGAAGACATTATATAGGTATGTGTATGTGACCTCTGGGTACTGAAGACATTATATAGGTATGTGTATGTGACCTCTGGGTACTGAAGACATTATATAGGTATATGTATGTGACCTCTGGGCACGTGAAATGCAGCAGAGTGCCTGAGGAACTTAGACTGCTGAGTTTAAATAGGTGTGTGCGGTTGCTGTCTGCAGTGGTGGGTGGTACCACAATCAAGGTCTACTCTAGTTATACCAACCACGGAGGGACAGCGCTTCTCATGTGGCATTCTTTCTGCTCAGATCTAGAGAGAGGAAATGATGAACTAAAGCCTGCCACTTGGGCCATAATTTTACCATAGGCTTTTTGGCCGAGCTTCCAATTCCATGAGAGGTTCATAAACGCCTGACCTTTAATATCAGATTAGACCTATACTCTGAGGTCAGGCTAGAAGCCAGGGAGTTTGGCACTTGGAACCTTTTCCCAGAAAAATTGGGAAATTCTGAGGACCAGAGTCACCATTAGGCTTTATGGTCCGGGGAGGCACAAGCTGGTGATTTTACATTCAGGTTTAGTCAAAGCCCAGCCTCCCTCTTTACTTCTCCCTGTACCTTCTCACCAATAGACCGTGAGTAATTTCAGTGTTGGGAAAGCATTCATGACTTTAGATGCCAGCCACAGACTCCCTCGTGTCTTTTGCTTACTATTTTCATTCAACAGATGAGAGGTTTTTGTCTTTACAACTGCCCTCAAAGGCTGCTCTGTGTGGATAAAAGCAGCTGGCCTTGTTCCCCTCATCAGGGAGCTCTGCCCCGCTCTGCTGAGTTCTCACACAAAGTAGAGAGCCGTGCGCATTCCTGACAGTTAGGCGGCTGTGTGCTGCCCGTGCCCCCGTGTGCACGGCTGCGTAGAAGAAGCTGGGAACAGGGAAAGTGACCGCACAGACCTGTGTGTGCCAACGCTGTCTTGTTTGTGTTCTTCCAGGATATGAAAGATTGGTGCCGCACCGCTTTGATGACTACTGCCCTGCTGTCTCATGAATAAGCCTCTAGATGGCCAGGTGAAGGTCACGGCCACTTGTTTCCTCAGCTGCACCGATGAACCATTGCTCTCTGTTGGCTGAATGTTCGTGACACCCTTTCCTGAAGCAGTTTAGGAGACTTAGACCTCTTGGACCCTGGGTCATGGAAGCTTTGGAAGTGGATGACATCAGCCCTGCCTTGGAGGTGACCGAGGACTTCTTTAGTACTTTCGATAGTAAGCTGGAAAAGGCTGTGCAGCAAGCAGAAGTTTATGGGATTCAGGAAGTCCCTGAACTGGTGGGGCATGAGGTACTCAGTAGCATAACAGACAATGGTGCTTTGAGAAATGTTGCCTCCCTAGGCAAGGGGACCATGATTTGGGACCACTGTAAGAGCAGGCTCCTAGAAACCAAAGGTCAAAATGTCTTCCCTGCCAAAGAACAGCTTATGGTCCAGAGAGGGACAGCCCCAGATAACCTTTCCTGGATGGAACAAAAAGAAGCATCAACCTTCAACTTTTTCAACATCTGCCAGCGTCGGAGGGACAGACCTCGCTCTGTGAATGACTTATTAGATGAGACCACGACTTTCAAGCCAGGACATGCTCGGTCCAGGTCTGACGTCACCCATGTAGTCCTTAGCACCATGCCTTTGCAGCAGCAGCAGCAGCAGCTGTCCCTTCAAGGCCCTCACTTTGCCAGGCCATCCTTTCTGTTGCATTCACCCAGTAAGATTGAAGATGCTCAAGGAAATACAGGTATGTTTTATATCCGCTTTAGTGAGCGCTGCTCATTGCTCTGTCTCCCTTATACCTACCAACTCTCCAGCAGCCACACCTGGCTTCTCGCTCCAATATTTTGTTCTTTGCTTCAGATCAGCTATCTTTTGTCTTCTGAAGAGGTATTTAGTGAAATTACGACTCTGGTTAAGTCTCTCTTCCTAATTGTCTTTGTTAGAATACCCTCATACTGAGCACTGTGTGGTACTGCTCATTCATATCTGATGGTTGCCAGGTCACACGCTGGACTCTATCAGCCTCACCCCCTGGTGTGTTTAAGGTGTGTGGAGACTCTGCTCAAGGGGTCAGTGTCAGTGAAGTCTGGGGAAATTACTCAAAATGAGAGACAATAGATGACCAACTGAAATGTTATTTTATTCCACATCCAAGTGAGTGTCGGTGTCTCTAAGAGGACGGAAGAAGCAGAAGGCACAGTGAGCTAGACTGCTCCAGAAGAGCTTGCGGAGAGCATGAAGTGAAGGGCATGGAGATCCAGAAGTTATGGAGATGATAGACTCATAGAGTGCACATGGGAGAGAAGGGGCAGGTGTAACCCAACTGTAGACCACTTGCCTAGCATGAACAAGGCCGTGGGTTTGATACCCAGCCCTGTAGGAATGTGGTGGAGAGGTTAGAGGAGAAGAGCCAGTGGCAGTTGGGTCTTGTGGTATACGGCCTTTCATTTTCCTCCAGTTTATACACAGATGTGTGCATCTGTGTGTCAGACTGTGCTCACACACATATTCTCCTAAGTGACATAAAAAGCCATCTTTCCAATTACCACAGCATTTTCCTTCAAGATAAAGAATAACTTTATGACTACCAAATTTTATTACTGATGATTCTTTACTCAACTCTTAAATATAAATGGCTTCACCTCAACTCATTGGTGTGTGTGTGTGTGTGTGTGTGTGTGTGTGTGTGTGTGTTCATGCTTTCTAGTTCTTTGAACTGAACCTGGGGCCTTGAATATTTAGGCAAGTGCTCTGCTACCAGCTTCCTCTGCACTCCTCCAGCCCCTGGTTGGTTCTCTGTGTGTATGTGCGTGTATTTATATAATTGTTGTTGTTGTTGTTTGTTTTGTTTTTTAGTAGTTCCAGGAATTCAATTTTGGCTTGCTAGGTAAACACTCTGCCATGAAGCTACCTCTTAGCCTTTATTGTCATTTATGCTCCACTGCTAATTCAAAAAACTTTAAGTTTTATGTGCATACATATTTTCCTGCATATGTATGAGCACTGTGTGAGTGCAATGTTCCCTGGATCTCCAGGAGCTGGCGTACAGCTAGTTGTGAGCCACCATGTGGGTGCTGGGAACTGAAAGCAACAAGAGCTCTTAACCACTGAGGAATCTCTGTAGTCCCTTTATTGCTGCTTTTAAGTTAGCTTCTATACCTGCCATACCTGTTTGGTAAGTCAAGTGATATATTTAACAATTTAATAAGTAAGCTTAATTTGTAAGTGTAATCTGAGACAAGATATCAGTTTGAATATAGATAAGAGAATGCAAGGTTTCTGTCCATGACATGCCACAATTCCACATTCGATACAAAGTCACCCTTCAAGACTCTTCTTCCCTGTCAAATCCACAACTTGCCATTCCTCATCTTTCCTCCTAGAGCAATGGTAATGGTTCTCAACCTTCCTAATGCTGGGATTCTTTGATATAGTTCCTCATGTGGTGTTGATCCCTGACCATACACTTATTTCTTTGCTACTTCATAATTGTAATTTTGCTACTGTTATAAATTAGTGTAAATATCTGAGATGCAACTTCCAATGGAGTTGTGACTCACCAGTTGAGAACCACTGTTCTAAGCTCACAGATCTTCAAGAACAGCTGGGGGGGGGGGTTACGACTGTAGGACCAGAAGGAAAGGGATATTGTAAAGCAAGGATGTGGTGACTGATTTCGAGACTTAGGAGACAACACATCGCTGGGACCCCTGTGCCTGAAAGACCTGATAACTTTGTATTTGATCTGTTACATTTATGTAATAGGAAAACTCTTCAATTAGCAAATAACCTTAGTAGATTGTCTGTTAGAATTCACATGGAATTTTGTCATTAAGTCACCTTAGCCATTTGTAGGTCCTCGACAGGACCCAGAAGAAGAGGTTATCATATTTCCAACCTTATTTTTCTAGTTTGTTCTGATTATAAGTTCATGAATCATGCATCCTTGACATCTCTAATGCTCTGGTCTTTCCCCTTGAGCATCTGACAAACCGTGATTATTATTCTTTTTTATTTTCTTATTTCTTTTCAAGACAGGGTTTCTTTGTGTAACCCTGGCTATCCTGAACTCTCTCTCTCTTTCTCTTTCTGTTGAGCAGACTAGCCTTGAACTTAGAGAGATCTCTCTGAGTGCTGGGTTTAAAGGTGTGTACCACCACTCCTGACTTGTGATTGTTATTCTTTAGTTCTTGAGTTTTAAAATTCTGAATACTAATTTATAATGAAATATAAGTAGTGAGTTTGAAAAGGAAATTATAGCATCCGAACTTTGCAGGTTTAGAATGACGTATCTTAGCCACTGCTTGGTCATTGCAACATGAATAGACAAACTTGGGCAAAAGGCATGGCAGGCTTCTCACATCTTTTCTTTCAGACAAGTTCTGGGGAACAAGCAAGATGTCTCATGTTTTTATTGCCTACCAGGTAAAGAGCAGGGGCCTCCAATACTTAGGCTAAGAGTAGGAAGGCATTCTAGACTAGGCTCACCATCCATTCTTTGGAGTATACAGTTCTCATCTCGGTCTGTGCAGAGAGCTGATATGACCCCGTGGATTTGGAGGCACAGAAATCAGCCAATCTCCTGGGGTCATGGCTGTCCCACAGGGTGAGTTCCCAGTGGCAGAGCCACCCAGAACATAGCAGACACTGGGGAGGCAGTAAGGTATGAGCTGACCTTTGGGGTCTTGTCACATGGTTTGATTGCCTGATTTTAGATGCCTGTGAATGCACTCTGGAGACTGCATTGCCTCAGACATAGGCAGACCAGGGCTGACTCTTCCGACAGGAATGTTGGCTGGACTAGTGGAGAGAGGGTGCTTCAGGGGGTCCAACCATGGGGTATGGCTTGAATCCAATCTCATTACAGTGTGCATTATCTGAAAACGACTGGCTAATAAATGTAAGGGTGGGTCATAAAATGATAGAAAGAAACAGACCTAAAAAGGCAAAGTGGCAACAGTTATTATAAAGGATTTCAGAGTATGTGGTGGAGCCCGAAGCTTCCTTAGGCCCAGCATCTTAATCCTGCTGTCCGCAGTACCCAGGCAGCTTTGCCACTCTGAGGACTTTGACTCTACCATAAGAATGTCTGATTTCTGCCAGGCATGGTGGCACACACCTTTAATCCCAGTACTCAGGAGGTAGAGGTAGGCAGATCTCAGTGAGTTTAAGGCCAGCCTGGTCTATGGAGTGAGTTCCAGGACCGCCAGAGCTACTACACAGAGAAACTCTGTCTTGAAAAACCAAAAAAAAAAAATGAAAAAAAAAATCTTATTCCAACCCAAACACTAATCTTAGTTGTATAAAGCCATGCTCTTAAGGAATGTAGATGAGTGTCTGTCTTTAATGTCCTTCCACTGTCCTGTGTCACTGTCTTGTTATTCCCTGAGGAACAGTGTACTCAGGAGGAGTTCCTCAGAGGATGAAGAAAGTGGAGTCCTGCCGTCACAGAATGAAGTCCAAACAAACACAGTTTAAAATCCATTGAACATGTGGCTGTTAGATAGGGTGGTTTTTTTTCTTCCTTGAGACAGGGTTTCTGTGTGTAACAACCCTGACTGTCCTGGAACTTGCTCTGTAGACCAGGGTCGCCTCTTCCTCCTGAGTGCTGCGATTAGAGGTTGTGCCACCACCGCCCAGCAAGATATGTTTTTATATATGAATAGTAGATTGTATGCACACACACACACACCTGTAAGTGAAGACACATGGTAGAGGAAGATGAGACTGTCTAGAAAGACTCAGGAGTCTGACCCCAACTCTGCTTCTGATTCACCCACCATATAGGTTCAAAAACCATCTTACTGCCTCTCTACAAACCTAGTGAGACAGATTCAGTTATCTTTGCAGTCCTTCCCAGCCTAAAACTGCTCCATTCTATGGCATGTTTGAGCGGGAACGAATTGCTGTATTCAGATCAATAATTAAAGGTCTCGACGGAAACAAGGATGGTTAGTTTTTGAACGAGCGGGAGTTTCTGTGTAACTGGTAAGTACTGCCGCATGAACTGCAGTGGTAACTTTTTAAATAAAAAAATTAAAGGAATCTTTTGTATTCGCCACAGAGCCCGAAACTCAACAAACTGCCAGGATGGAACTCACTTTTCCTCCCTGACTGTGCTCCCATTTTCATCTGCTGCGCAAGGCCAGTGGTCAGCTGAGCTTTTGTTTCCTAGGTGCCGCTCCGGTGACCTGGTCCGCTCCTGGGCGGTGTTTTCTTGTTCTCAGGACTTGAGGAGAAGGCCTCAAGCGGGGGTTTTCTTTGTGGCCAGACAGACCGCTGCAGTCGGGTCCTTCATCCTGAGCTTTGTGACACTGCTTCAGTTCTCTTTTTTCCATCTTTCACTAAAAAAAAAAAAAAAAAAAAAGACAAATTTTTGGAACTTGTACTAAAATGACTGCTTTTTCAATTATGCTGTTTCTCAAAAGCCCCTGAGCCAGGAGAGAAGGAAATATTCATGCAGGGTTGGAATAAGGGAGGTCACCAGGACACAGTCTCTTGCTGAATTTGTGATTCACCCTCCAATAGATTAGTCAGTACAAAGAAGTTGCTAAAATAGGTCACAGGAAGTTGACTGTGTCTGGTCATACAGTTTCCACTGGCTAATGATCCCGTGTTGGCTGCCGCAGCCATGAGCCCCACTGTGCTCCACTGACGGCCTGCGTTCTAATGCCTAACCCTGATGGAAGGGACCCGTAAAAACCGAGTGTTTGATGGTCTTTGTGGGTGTCCTCTTAATGCATT